AATTGACCTGTTTCTCGAAACAGCATCACTTTTATAGCTTTCCTCAAAATTTGTCCTCCCTAGAAATATGATCTGAAAACCCGTGGAGAAGAGAGAAATCGCGTTCTGAATTCGTAAGCAAGTAATGGCTGTACCAGGAAATTGCAGCAATATCCTGGGAAATGATTGCCGAGCTACGCAATCATTGCGCAATATAAATCGAGAATGATGACTAGAATTTAAGTTAAATTATTTTTTTCATAACCAGGATGGCAATTCAAACTACGGTTTCTTAGGGTTTGATAATATGTGTAGGGTTTTGTATAGTAGTAGCGATAGCTTTCTTATTAGCATGTGTATGGAGCCGTCATGTGGCGGCTGTCAGGTGGCTAGTACGTCTAACATAAAGTTATTTTTATGAGGGCTGTCTTGAAAAGAACTGGAAATGATGTATCGTTTTCAGGCTGCCTTCCTCATTCCTATGATAATTGTGTCAACACGAAAATTTGCTGCTTTGAATGCACTTGGAAGTGTGCTTCTGTTGTTGAGGTAGGACAATTATTTGCTTGGAGTGATTGAATAACATTCATTGTGTGATTAGTATTTTTCTGGGTAGAAAAAGGTTTGAGAAAAGAGCTAGGGGTAACCCTTGAAGAAAGGCTGGGATAGGTGGCAGTCTTTTTGCTCTGCGACTTATATGTTAATTTCATTCCGGAAAGTTAAGCGATTAATGTATGCTGACGCAGCGGCGTTCAGGATTGACTAATTAACGAACTCTGGATGGATATGAATAGTGTGAGGAGTGGTCTAGTGAACCTTGATCGTGTTAGCGGGGTAGGCTTGACTTTTTTCAAAGTTCGGCGAGACGTGAGGGCTCACCTCCGGCCAATATTCATGTTAGTGGTTTTGTTCTCCCAGGTAAGTTTGGGTGCTGTTTACCTCAGAAGGGGCATGTTGGTACAGAGTACCCAGCCAAGCTAGGGTAGGTATTTGCCTGAGCGCATAGAGGGAAGGTGTTCCAATGCGCCCACAAGGAAATTTTGCCCTTACTTCCCTCCAAGTGGCCATCCTTTTTGGCTCAAAATCGCTTCTCCATACCGTCCATTAAAGGAGGATCCACGATAAGAACGAAGGTCAAAGAAGGGGAAAATTGCCTAGTTGGGAGACAGGCGGACCTCCTGAGGGTGCTGACTGACGCGCAATTGGCAGCGAAAGATTTGACCTCGGCGATCTAGCATGGCTCACTCTTGGCGCGGTTGGCGGGGTACGCCCACCGACTATCTAATCACTCGCCGCAGGTCTATACGCGGTGAGTGGTTACCGGAATCAACGGGCAAGGAAGGGGTCCCATTTCTCGGGTTCTGGGCCGTTTCTCATGGTTCTTCCTTCTTTCGTGTACCACTCACCATCCCTAAGTTAATTTGAAATGGGTTGCTTTTTCATCGTGAATTCGTCCTTTCAATAAATCCTATGCACATAAAAGCCGAAGAAGTGCGTATACACTGCGTTTCATAATTATAGGTCCACCCTAAATTTTTGCTACTCCAAAGTTGCTGTGCATTTTTTGGAAATGCTGCTATCACCATTAGATTCCTCATCACGGAAAACCTTCATAGTGTTTTTCTGACAAGTTCCCCCCTCAAGTAACCCAATTAACTTTTTTAGAACGAATTTTCACCGTTTCATGAATATCGGGCCACTCATAAAAAAGTTCCCATTTCTCGTGATCCAGTGAAGGAATAAGGGAAGCGGGGATATATCTGAGCTCAGTCGACATCGAGTTTACCGTACCTCGTGTTACTCGCCTCTCTTCCCAGTAACAAGCTCAAGCCAGAGCACTTACTGAAGTGGGATGGCAAAGGAGCAAAATTTCCTCCCAAGCCGGCCGGCTCCTACGACCTAAGCAACTAAGTGCGAAATCCTGGTCAGTGCGGGGAGAAGAGTAGCTTAGGTAAATGAAGACCGCGTTTCCTTCAAGATTTAGGAGGAACTGGGCGTTTTCTCTCGAATTGTGTAAGGGGTCCGAACAAAGTTCGTGCTGAAATACGGCCTTCCGTGAGCAAAACCACCGTGTGGTGTGTACGTCAGCGAAGCAATACATCTTCAGCGGATTGATGAAGAGCGTTCCAAGATTATTTGAGCGCTTCAAGATCGCACGTCTCCATTTCAGCGTGGAAAAGGGCGCAACTTTATGAACGAAGGTTTGGCTGTTCAGACCCTTCGCGATCTTGGACTCTAGCTCCTTGTTTCGTGCTACAGGTGATCTGAGATCGACGTGAAAAAGTTTATTCTAGGTGGATCTGATAGAAAAAAAGCGTACGGGAGGGTTCCGTGGAAATCGTAGATGGTTTTGATGTAAGGTAATTTTGGCGAAGAATCCCTTATGGATTGAGGCTCTTTTGAACGACTGAGCGGCTAGAGCTCGTGTTTGTTTCCTTTCAAGAGGATTCCATAGGGTATCGTGAAGTTCTTCTGAAGCGACTGTTACCATCTTTCCGACAACAGCTCCCTCGAACCTTGATTTTTACGCACGATAACGCGGCTGTCCATGCCGGTCCTTCCACGCCAGATGGAATTGTGGGAAAAAATATGGCAGTTACCTGGTGGCCAACATGTTAGCTGAATCAGATTCCAATAGAGAATCATAAGGCCTTAATTGCTATAAAGTTCCACAGCAGAGAAAAGCAAAATGGAACACCGAAGAGCTGAAAACGTCGATCATCAGCGCACAGACAAATTTCGATCCTACTGTAATAGCTAATTTGGATTACCAGCATTCCAAAACGTATTATTGTGTTCCTTATGACTATGGGAGGACCATCCCATTGTTGAAAATTTGTGACGTTTTTTTGCTATAATAAAATCTCTCGAAAAGTGATGTGTAGTCATATTCGCGAAACGGTGAAAATACGTTCTAAAAAAGATATTTTAATTATTCTTAATCGAGATTTCTCCAAAAATCGAGTATCAAGGTTTTTCGTTATGGGGAAACTATTGGTAATAGCGGCATTTCCCAAAAATGCACAGCAACTTTGGAATAGCAAAAATTTAGGGTGGACCTATATTTATGAAACGCAGTGTATAAACTCGTAGCAAGAACGTTGAACTTCTATGACTATTGCCACTGAGAGAGTCGCAGCCGAGACCGATCTTCTTAGTTTTCCATAAACCGATGGCTTGAGACCCTTTCATTGCTATGAAAGGGGAGAAAGAAGGAAAAATAGGTTTTTTTTCTGAGAAAACAGCCAGAAAAACTAACTAACACAAACTAAAGGAGATGGTGACGGCACTCTTTTATATTCTTTCCGACTCTAAGCATTATTATACACTTGTGTTGGCGGTAGGGGAGGATCTCCATTCATTATTGGAGAGTCATCTAGCTTTGGCTCTAGCACCCCGGTGACTGTGAACTGTCCTCATTGTGTGATGTCAAAACAAAATGCTTGGTTTATGTACAGAACTCTTTTGTCCAAGGACGGGATTCGAAAGACACTTTAGCAGGTTTAGTTACTCATACTTGGCATACCCACATTGAATTCCACGATTGTATTTTTTTATATTTTTCAGCGAACGGGTCGATTGTAGGTTGGGGAGAATTCCCTTGACTGCCCATTGCACTCATACGGCCGCCAGTCTCCACCCCCACTACTATCTCTCACCAACACCAGGTGGCTGCACTACCCTTTCGAGCATGGGGGTGAACAGCTTGGAGGGTGCTCTAGTACGCTTTCAATTGCATTTTCGGAATGGAATATTTGAAAACAATTGAATATAACTTCACAATCGAAATCTCCGCTTCCAACACTCAAACCCTCTCATATTCTCACGTCTATCCCCGCCCGCCTTCCATAATCATTGCTTCTCAAAAACCAAAATGCCCCCGCCCCGATCGCCTAAGTCCAAAATACGACGGCCATATTGGTAAATCACCAGCTGTCGTTGTGGCCCTGCTCGGAGGCTTATGGCCTGAAGGGCTTATGCAGCAACTTTGGATTTTGAAATTGGTAAGCACAGCGATAGCCATGTGTTGGTCATATTCAACATTCAGGGTCGCTGATTCTGAATAAATATCAAAATGTGGCAAATCTTAAGGGAACATATGAATTTTCTGTCCCCAATGCACATCCTTCTCTCCCCCCCCCCCCAGCTCCAGTAAAAGTTCCAATAATATACTCTCGTCGGAAAGTGCTGTTCCTATCTATTGATGACGCTGCCCTCTCAGCGTATCCCCTTGAGTTTCTATAAATACCGGTACCACACTTATAAATGAATCAAGAAATAACTAGGTACACGTTCCTTCAAACTGCATATTGTTTTTGCTTTTCTGCTGATGCTCATATTTAAAAAGCTCGTGTGGGTTTGTTTTTCAATTCTCCGTAATTGCGCAGTTTTGATTTTTCGCATTGAATCATGGAGCGACGGAGATACCTTACTGGTAATCATGTTTAGCGGGAAGTCGGTTCTTAAAATTGCTAGTATTCAAATTACCCCTTGAAGTAAAGCATTGTCTTGTAGTAGAAATTCGTTGAAAAGTTAAATACATATTCCAAAATAGCGGTGATTCACTTGAGGGGCAGGACTCCATTGTGTTCTTCAATATTTAGGATAAAAACGAACGTAACACCACTAATGATACGTAACCTTACTCATTCAAAAGGCAGTATATTTGCGATGAAAAGTTCTCGACGTAAAATACAGTACTGAGTGGCAGTGGAGGGCAGAATGAAAAGAAACCATCTAAAACGACTCGCAACCCGAGAAATGGGACCCCCTCCTTGCCCGTTAGTTTTGCGCTTTGATGCGACTCTCATCGCTGTACCCTCTTTAACCAACACGCTCTCTCTGCTATATAATCACTTATAGACCCTGCGGTGATTGGAAAGTCGGTGGGCGTACTTCGCCAACCGCGCCGACAGTGACTGGTCATGGTCTATCGCCGAGGTAAAAACTTTTGCCAGTTGTGCGTCGGCCAGCACCCTCAGGAGGTTCCGCCCGTATTCCAGCTGTGCAATTTTCCCCTTCTCTGACCTTCGTTCTGTCATGAATTCCTTCTTTGAAGTATACTTCTGAAAAGTAGCCATTTGTAGTGCAAAGTAACCTCACAATTTGGCCTGCTATGGTATGAGGAAATGGTTTCGAACCAGGTTAAGGAAAATCTTTGCCTCGCGAGTGGTAGAGCTGCCAGGATAGATGACCCAGGGCAGAAAATCAGATTGAATGTGGGCAGAATGTGTGGAATTTAAGGCATCCACCGGTCTTTTTAAAGAAATGCACTTCAAATGAGTGGTTCACAATTTACCTTATCCTTAGTCTCCGCGCTCCAGAATGTCCAGCTGGTCTGCAAAATGTTTGGCGCAATGCGCGTTAATAGCTGTTCGTCGCAGTGTGAAGAGAAAGCGAAGAGTCAAAACCGCACTACATTTCACTTTTCCGCCGGGGTTTTATTCCAGCTCTTTTTCCCTAGTTGAAATTGGTCAGCTATATAATTATTTTCAAAACAGGGCTTTTCGTCGTTCATTGCTTTAATTTTTCACATCATTGTGAGGTCACTCTATAGTGGAGAGCACTATCGACAAATTGATATTATAACTGCTGATGGATGGCCCAAAAAACTCAGTACATTCACCCTTGTTGAGGGGCTGCTAGTGAATAGTCAAGTTCGCCATAGCGCAATAGTCACGTTCGCCATAGCGGATTCGCTCTGAAGCGCATCACACTGATTAGCAGTATACTGTTGTGATTTGTTAGTAACGATGAGATGATCGCAGTAAATTCACGAATATTGTCGGTCTCGTTCGGTTTACGGTAGGAAGGCAAGGGTACGATTTTCCTGAGTGTACGGTAGCGCTGCGATTGGTTTTGGTTGATATGCCGTCACTGAAGAGAGGAACGTGACAAATTGTAGAAATAGAAGCGAAAATATCGGATAGATGCGAGACCCACAGGGAATCATTTTGGCGAGATAGCGGTGAATCCGGAAAGCAAAAAACCGCCTGTCACAAAATTAATGTTCGGACGCCGGCAGTCAAGCCACTCAGTGATCGAAGTGGTTCGTATCTGTTGAGATGGAGACTACATTGCAGCTGGTGGGAGGTAGCGGGGGGGGGGGGCAGATAAAGGGTTTTTCCTCTTTGCAGAGTGGTAGAGTAGATGTGAACATTTCCATCCATGTAGATAATTTTGTTTCAGTTTCGCCTTTCTATGGGGACCATCAGCTTACCTGCAGCATTTGTTGTCTCCGCAACGACGTCTGGTTACAGTGTGCTATATGTCAGCCCTGTTTGCCACCCTCTACTCTTCACTATGGGTTTGTTCATTTTTACTTTACCTAAAGGCCAGTGGTAGCTTTTTTCATACTGAGACCTTGCAAGTGACACTGCGTTGGTCCCACAAAGTATGGGGGAGAATAGAAGACTTCAAGATGAAAGCGATAGACAGTTTTTTGTGATGGCAAACAACTCCGCCATGAAAAGGTGGCCATCACAATGGCCTAATTGATGTTAAATAACACGGTCTGTTTATCACGGCGCGAGCGGATTATCTTGAGAAGGTTATGGTAAAGGTGACGCTTCATTAGAGACGAAAGGTGAACACCATCGAGTCTTGCTCGAGCCATTATCCCGTGCTTTATTCGTTAGGAGTCAGGTCAATGGTATAAGCATGTTTCAAGAGGTGATTTCATAAATGGGCAACAGCTCGCTTTCAACAAAGTATAAATGCCCTGAAGGAATTTCCATGTTTCTGAATTA